AAAAAAAAAAAAGAGATAGACTTACCATGAGCAAAAACCCAACTGAGCCCATTGCCGTCAACTCTATAGGACAGAGGAGGACTTCCCCATAGGCTTTCCGGGCTGTCTACAGAAGCAGGATGCCATGCCTTCTGTGGAATAGCTGGTGGGCTGGAAAGTTGACCTTTCTGTTAGCAGTTGAATATTTAATCACTTTACATTTTAACCATGTTATCCTGTAGTTCCACTCTGAGGGATTTTCCAAAATGAAATAAAGATGTGTTCATACAAAAGCTTTTGAGCCAGTATTTTAAAGCGGCTTTATTAATAATTACCTCAAACTGGAAAAAACTCAAATGCCCTTCAACAGATGAATGGATAAATAAACTCATGAGTCCATGCAGTGGAATACTGTTCAGCAGTACAAAAGAATGAATCACTGGTACGCACAGTAAAGTGGATAAGTCTCAACTATATTGTACTTGTGAAAGACACAGGGACTACGTATCACATCATTCCATTTATTTGGAATTCTAGAAATAGTAAAGCACAGTAGTCCAAGGTTTGTCTGAGGCAGGGTGTGGGGCAGAACATTCACTATTAAATGGTAAGAGGCTTAATGGTTCTGTTTCATGTCTTAATTTTGGTGCTGGTAATGTGTCCATATGACAAAAATTTGAAAGGATACATTTCATTATGTATACATTACCTCAATGAAATGGAAATTAAATGCCAATGCATAGTGGAGTTGTTAGATGCTGCTGAGTCACCTTCAACACACATAGAAATCTCATGTGATCCAGTACAATTCTCACATCACTACTTCCCTTGAACCCCCTGTCACAGTCACTGTATCAGTACATCTCTCAAAGTCTTCCTGTTTCTCACTGACCCTCTACATTATCAAGCAGGTCCTACTCTGGCTCATCTTGGTAGAAGTCTCAGCATCTTTTCTTCTAAGGAGAAGTCTGGCTGCATTTCTTCCAGGACAGATTTGTTGGTGTAGAGGAAAGCACAGTTTCCAAGCTTGGTTGGGTCCATTCTCAGCAGCTGGAAGGATAATGCCCAACTTGTGTCTCCATGGGGCCATATGCACTTGCACGATGCAACTAAGGAACTCTCCAAGCAGCTCTGCAAACTGGTACTCCCATGCTTCCACTCAAGTATTCTGAGACGTTGGGCTGAGAACTCAAAGGAAACCAGGCATCCCGCCCAGCAGCAATCTAACTGACTCTGTTCCTCATTCTGTTATTTTGAAATCACTCTCTGGATATTTGTGCAATCTTGGCACAGTGATTTGGAGAACAAATATGGGGATATGTTAGTGGGGGAGAGGACAGCATGGGGTGGAGAGCCAAGGTACAAGATACAAATACGCTGCTATCCTTTTCCCAGGTGCAGGTTTCTCTATGATGTGAAGGCAGTTTGCTTTTATATCCTGTCTGCAAAAATTGCTGTTCCTCCGGGAGAGTTTCTTGAATTTGCCTGTCTCTTACATGTTCCTAGAATTCCACCTTAAAACAAGCTGTGTGTACTGGCGGCCAACGTCTCCGCACAGAAAAGTTTTGCTTAAGAGATGACACAGTGCAGTTGGAGCCTGCTCACCCACATCTGGAGGCCACATGTCAGGGGCAGCTGTATAAAAAGGCCAGCCCGACAGACCCAGGCAGACGTATCTCGACAGAATCCAGGCAACATGGACCTCACTCTTCTGTGGGTGTTTCTGCCACTGGTCACGGTGACCTGGGGCCAGTATGGTGACTATGGTTACCCGTACCAGCAGTACCACGATTACAGTGATGACGCCTGGGTGAATCTGAACCGGCAGGGCTTCAGCTACCAGTGTCCGCATGGGCAGGTGATAGTGGCTGTGAGGAGCATCTTCAGCAAGAAAGAAGGTTCTGACAGACAATGGAACTATGCCTGCATGCCCACACCCCAGAGCCTTGGGGAGCCTTCAGAGTGCTGGTGGGAGGAGATCAACAGGGCTGGAATGGAATGGTAAGGGACAGAGCGCTGGGCTGGGCTGGGCTGGGGACCCCTCTTCACAGCCAACCCATGTGGGTAACTTCACCTTTGGGAAGCAATGGTGCCTAGAGTCTGGGCAAATCCTACAAGTAGCCTTATTGTGTATGTTCTGGGTGGGGCAGGGCTGCTGTTGACTGGACTCTGTGATAGGAAAAAGCACAGGATGGGAAGTGTCCACAGCAGACAGACTCTTTTGTACTTGTGTCCCTTGTAGAAGCAACCCTCCTCTAAAATTGTCCAAGACATAGATATGGATCCGTAAGATGTTTATCATCCTGAAACAGGAGAAGTATAAAATCTAAAAGAGTCTAAAACCTTTTATTGGGGTTTAGCATTGACAGCTATCTTTCTGTGCTGTGTAACAGAAATGCCACAAGTAAGTGACTTTAAAGAGCAGAATTTATTCTCTCAGATTTTAGGAGGCTAGAAGTCCAAATTCACGGATCTGAGCTTTCTTGCTGTCATCTCAGGGGGTGGGGGGAAATCCATGTCTCTTCCAATGTCTGTTGAACAGCGTTGTTTGATTGCTTGGTGATCTTCATTTGGCATCTAAATTCCCCACCCTATCTCATTTTGTTAGGCTTGTACTTTTCAGAATTTAGAAGTGGGCAGGTTTAGGTCACACCTTGAACTGATATGGTTTCATTAAGAAGGAAAATCCTATTCTAATGTGGGTTTCCATCCATAGATACAGAGGTTAAACAATTCTGACAAGTGGGGTTTATCTGAGGGGAATGCAATTCAATCTGTAACACCTAAAGGGTATTTTTGTATTGTAGAAACATACTTTCATTATTTTATAAAAGCACTGGTCTTTAAAAGTTTGAGAAAAAATAGACAACTGGCTTTACACTGCAGAGTTTGAGAAATACCCATTTAGAGCAAGAAAATGGGGAGAGGGGCCAAAGAATATTAGGCAAAGAAATACAAAATTAAGTAACTCTCAGCTGTTTCTCTTACATGAGATCTTTTTGTTTAGAAGACTGCCTGGTTCTTCTCACTCATTTAGAATGAGTTCCAGGGCTCGAGAAGAGTTTACTAAACTGTTTGTGGACTTTACATTTTTTGTGACTGCCCATTAATCTCTCTGACAATGGGGGACAGAGGAGAGATCATTTTATCTAGTTGATAGCAATCTTCCACCAGACAAACCACATCACCTGTTGCTATGAAGCCAGCTGCGAAACACAGTAAACCTCCATGTATCAGAGAATGGCACTTGATGGTGGCTGCTGCTTTTGGAAGTCAAGCACCAACAGTTTCCTCTGAGTTGCCTCTGGGTGGACTCAAATGCTCCAGCCTTTCCATCGACAGCTCAGCATGCTAAATGTTTGTACCGTTCAGATGCTAGACAGGACTAGCTGGGGTTGGAGACTCTCAGCACCCCAAGTCGAGTCAGGCCCCTAGTGAGTGGGGCTGTGGGCAAGGAGTAGTGACACACTCAGGGGTCTCCGGCTGAGGGAGGAGGCACTCACTCCAAGAGGCAGGCTGCATGTGGCCTTTGTGAGAAGGGCTAGGTAGGCTTCCAACAGGCTCCTGATGGAGTCAGAGAACGAGATGTGGTTAGACCTAAAACCTTGGCAGATGCTCAATTAGTCGACAAAACAATAATAACAAGTCCAAAGAAAAGACACTAGGGGCGGAGGGATCCAGACAAGAGAAAGAGCCTCCAAGAAATAAAATTGATGGTACGATTAAACCAAGCTTGGAAGCAGGAGTGGCATCCACTTCTGAAATAGCTTGCCTCTGGAAACCCTATGAACTTGGAGAAACGATGAAAGTTATACAAGTGTTCAGGTCTTTCGTTCATAGGGTCGCTATGAGTCATCTATGACTCGATGGTACTCAACAACTATTGTGCTACCCACTGGGCTGCTAATGGAATGGTTTTTGCTGGTTTGAACCCACCAGCCACTCTGTAAGAGAAGGATAAACAATCCTCTCTCATAAACATTACAGCCTCAGAGACCCAATGGAGGGTCAGCACGAGTCAGAATTGATTCTTCAGCAGTGGACTTGGAGTTTGTGTTTTACTATCTGTGAAGTTCTTTCTCTGAACAGACACCTTGCTGATTGTGCTCGGTGCATTATCTTGGATAGTGTTCACAACAAAACTAGAAATCAATTTATAAGTGGACAAAATAAAGCCTTGTGATGAGGCATTTTCTCACCCAGTACATGGTAGAGCCTAGACTTTGAACTTGCATGCGGTGACTCTTCACTGTAAATCATGAGTTCTTGAGAGCCGACTGCCTCTGCTCAGATGAACTCTGAGCCACAGGTATTCTCTGACAGCAAAACTGGGGCCTGCTGGCTGGGCTCAGGGCAGCTCTTCACTCTGGGGTGCAGCAGGTGAGGAGTGGGAAGATCCTTGGAAGGGTGGAGTCAGTGTGTGAGTCAGATCATGGAGGGATGGGAAGAGGGGGCTCACAGGTGAGAGGGATGCAGGTTGGAGGCTGGCACTACCTCACTGCTTGACCTTTATTGGGTCCTCTTCATCTGCTCCCACTGAATCTGGTGAGTAGATTCAATTATCCCAAACCTCTTCTTACAGATGGCTGTCTGACTCAGAGTTCGGGGTGCCAATGACTGTTTGGAAAAGCCAGAGCTGAGATTTTCTAGTGAGGTAAAGCTGCGGAATGATGCAAGGGGCTCTGCTCCTGCACCCAGTGAGCCAGGATTCACTCGTACCCTTTGTAACCATACATTTTGACTCTGTGGATTTGAATGTTTAGTTTTTCTTCTGGCAAAGGGAGATCATCATGCCCCCCTCGACCTGTTGGAGTCTGTTGCTGTGTCGTAACAGATGTGTAAAAGAGAACATCTGCCACACCAGTCAATATAGTTTAATACATTTAGGATTTGATAAGGCCAATTTGGGGACAGTCAGCTCTAAATGAGGTTTCAATTAAGATAAAGACTGTTTATTGGTTTCTGCTTATTTCTGAACTTTAAAGAATGGCCAAGAAGGCATTTGAAAAATGGCAGCTCTTATGACAAAAAACTATGCTCTGGTATTTAACATAGCAGGCTGATAACTGAATGGTTGGCAGTAAGATTCTACCAGGTACTTTGTGAGAGGAAGATGGACTCTTCCTCTCAAGATTCACAATTCAGACACCCAACAAGTCAGTCTGAGTCAGAATTAGGCTGATGGTATTAGGTGGTGATATTTGAATTTATGGATTCATCAAAGACAAGCCACTAGACTAAGCATGGTTGTTGTTGTTGTGTATCACTGAGTGGGAATCAACCCTCCAGTGGGTTTTCAGAGGCAGTTAATCACACAGGAGGCGATCACCCATCTTTCTCCAATGGAGCAACTGGTGGATTCAAAATACATGCCATTGGGATTGCAGCCCAGTTTCTAACCACTAGGCTACCAGACTAAGAACAGGGGTGTGGAAAACTGCCCATGAGCCATGTTAGCATCAGGGTTAATTAGAAGCTGGATATATTTGGGCAGGAAATGAAAGTTTTCCATAATCTAATTGCAGTTGAAACCACAACTATAGAGCAAGAGCAGGCAGTCCTGGTCCATGACTGAGTGCTCATTCGTCCAGCACACGCCCATTAGAGAGGCCTGCCAGACCACCACCTCTGACATACACCTCTGACCCTCGGTGCTCTCAGCCTGCTTCGTATTTCCTTCCCTATATCCCTGCATCTGATTGCATTTAGTTCTTTAAAGTCTGTCTTCAAATATCAGCATTGTGAAGGTAGAGACTTTAACTTATTTGTCGTATTCATCACTGTATCACCATTGCCGAGAAGATTGTTGTTATGTGTCGTTGAGTTGGAACCAATTCATAGCTGACTCTCCAGGGAATTCTCAAAGGCTGTGGATCATGTGAGAGGAGATTGCCCATCTCTCTCCTGCAGAGCAGTTGGTGCATTTGAACTGCCTTCCTTTGAGTTGACACTGCCAAGGCTTTACCCACTAGGCCGCCAGAGCTCCCTAATGCCGAGAATGGTGTCATTCTCTGTGCCATCTAGTTGGACCTGACCCATATGTGACCCTCTAGTGGGTTTTCAGAGCCAGTTAATTGCACATGAGGGGATTGTCCATACTTCTCTTGCAGAGCGTCTGGTGAATTTAAACTGTGTCTCTGGGATTGCAGCGCTGCTTCTTACCACTAGGGCCCTAGAGCTTCCCAGGCCAACAGATAGTGCTGTGTAAATAGTAAACAAAGAAACAGTAAAAATTCTTATTATTGTTGACTTCTGGTGACCCCACGTATTCAAAGGTAGAACTGAGCCCTGTAGGAGCTTCTTGATGATAATTATTACAGAGGAGACTCTAGCTGGCACAAACTATTAAAAACTAAATTACTAACAAAACCTAAGTATTCAAACCCACCTAGCAATGCCTCAGAAAGAAGACTGTGCAATCTGCTTCTGAAAAAATCCAATGGGGCACAACTCTACCCTGAAACACATGGAGTTGGAATCAGCTCAACATCAGTTGAATTAGTTTTTTTGGTTTAATCTTTACAGAAGCTGTTTGGAAACTCTTCC